TTCTTTAACCTGTTCTTCCTCTGTTTCAAATTTCAACAAAAGTTTATACATTTTAGCAAATATGTGTTCATCATCAGTGCGCAATTGTACTTCAAATTTTGTCTTGCTTTGCTCCATACCATTTTGAATCTTTCTGATAACTGTAAATGAGAAAACCATTGACAACTATATCCTTCTGCTATTAGTTGCTGCCTTGATTTAATCTTAAATTCCCCTTGATGGTTTTCCAATAATTCCTGGTATGTCAGCCATTTCTCTTTGCCTGCTGTTTCTCTTCTGTGATATGCTTCTTAAGCTGAGATCCACAAAGGTGTTTCTGGGCACAACCTGGTTTATATCTATTTCCAGGAAATTTCCATTAAGTAATTTATTATCCCAGGATAGTAAGATTTTACACAAAAATGTTTTCATTCACCAGATGGCAGTGGTCAAAGAATACATTTTGTAATGTCCCATTTATCCTGTTCTGATGCAAATCATTGTATATTTATAGAGATTTCTTGATTTGAAATTTCAAGAATGTTAGCAGTGTTAGTCTGAGCAAAGCCAACCAAGCACTTTAAAGATCAACAACATTACTGGACGTAAATTTTCATAGGTTAAAATCCACTTCATCCAGTGCATCTTTGTCTGAAGCTCTTTGCAATCCCAGGTAGTGGTAATTTTGCGCAAGACTGAATAGAAAGATCATGTATCTTGCTTGTTGTAATAGGAATGCCTGGACCAAAACTGTCAAGATTTACAAAGTATAATAACCCAAAATTGCTTGTTTACTGTGAATAAGAAGTTGATACTTACCACTTGTTCACTTCCCTCTTCAGGCAAGGAAAGCAATCTATAGACTTTTGTATGATTTCAAAGCAAAATCCTGATTTATTTTACCATTCCCATATAGGAAGGAACAGATGAATAACAAACACCAGCATGCTGCTCATTTGCAATAAATCAGGATAAGTCAATAATCTTGGTCATGTATGAACATAAACACTGTCTATGCTTATTTTTTGATATTCGTGTCATTTTCTAAATTTGTATGTCTGCAAATAAGCAGCACCATGCCTTTGCTTTTGGTTCTGCTATTTTAAACATTCCAAAACAATTTATAAGACTTGGGATCAGCGATCAGAATCTGAAGTTAGGCAAACAGTTAAAAAAGGGGCATGCTTGCTTCACACCATACCTTCATCTCAGCATGTTCAGTCCTGTGCCAACTATTGAAATCCAGGTAATCATCTTTTTTTAATGAATTGTCCATTTCTGAAAATATGGGAATGTGCTATAAACGTTAAAAGTGCTCAGCTCTGGAGAAAAGCATGGATCGTCTATCCCTCGTCGACTCTCACAGCAACAGTCAGCCTTTCCCAAACAAGGACTGTTATAAAGGAGTTGGTTGATGCAGGGCAACAGCAAAGTTGGAAGCGTAGTCTGCCGTCCTGCTATGCGCCCTCTCGATCTAGTCTCTTCCTCTCAAATTTGGTAGAGGACATGGTCTTGTCCCATTCAAATGCCACTCTGTTTGGCTTTTGTAAGTGGAGCAGGGATTTGGTTGATTTCAAGCAATTATTTTAAGAGCCCTTTGGGCAAGCCTAGATTTATAGGAAAGAAAAACTTACTGACTTAAATTGACTTCAGAGAGAATGGGTTTGTAGATTAAAATGGCAACTGCTATTTAAGCTTTCACTTGGCAATCCATTAACTCAAGGATATTCTCACTGAGTTCAGCTGCACTGCTTCACAATCTGAGGCGTGTTACTATATTAATTTCATTGACATGGTATGGTTTACTATATGTGATTAAAAATACACACTTTTTATTTTGTTAAAAATTCTATTTTCTTCCGTCGAAACAGCTTGATGTTTGTGCATTTAATATTTTTCCATGTAAAATTGCAGCTTAACTGTATGTGTGTGTGTATGTATGTATGTATGTATGTATGTATGTATACATGGGATGCTATGGCTAGTTTTATGTGCTTATTTTTTATCAGTATTTCAGAGAACAATCCTCCCAGAATTTGTCTATCAAAATTTCTCTTATTGAAGTTACTGGCTGTTACATGGTTGATCTGTGAATTAAGGGATAATTTGTTCCTTCTGACATATGGACCCTTGACTCTATTAGGTTTTGACCCAGGACTAACTTCCATCAAGCCCCCATTTAATTCAGCTGTAAACATGAGACATTTCACACTATAGCATCATGTAAATTGATCTTCATTATTTGTTTCTTTTACAATATGTATACAATTAAGACAATTAAGATTGGGCAGTGAATAATAGAGCAGGAATTAGATAGAAAACAATCCGATTATTAAAAATGCAATGCCCGTGCATATCCACAATACATTCAGGCCAAATGCACATTGGAACAGTCGTTTTGTATTTCTTTGCAAAATGCAAGGAGAAAGTATGCGAAATGCACTTCCCAGGGAAGCGTGTGCCAAAGTGTGAGAGCTACTGCAGCAAAGCTACTGCATTTCCACTTTTGTTAAACATCTTTCTTTTTTTAATAACCCAGTCTACTGCATTGTCCATGTGAGCAAGGAAATTAGCCAGCAAAGCCTCAAATACAGCAGTGGTGAGCAGTCTGTTAGCAACCAGTGGTGTCTTTTTTTTTTTTATCTTAAAAAAAAAATTAAATCAAGGGCCACAGAGTGCCTAGGTCAGTGTTGTCCAAACGTGACCACTTTAAGATGAGCGGACTTCAACTCCCAGAATTCCCCAGCCAGCGGCTGACCTAGGTGGTCATGTTACTAAGAGTGTGGAATCAATATTTTCTTCCTTTCGTTCTGTTTCATTTGTTTCTCTCTTTTTGAATTGACACAGTTACTTTATGTATTTACTATTAATATAAAGTATGCCACCCCCAGAATGGGGTTAGATTTTAAATAAATGTGTTAAGCTGGATATTGAGTGCATCTTAAATTAACAGGAAATCACATTGCTGTAAACCAGAAAACCTGCTGCCAAATGTTGGTGTCCCAATCTTAGGGAAATTCAGGGGCTTTTTTTTTAAAAAAAAAGCCTTATATGCAGTGCATGGATAGCCCAAATACATGTCTGAACAGTCAGAAGAGATTGCCTACTAGAACTATGCCCATCTTGTGTCCTTGTGGTCAATTAAAGCCATTTATTAAGCAGTGTTCAAATTTCTATCTCCTTTTTTTATTTTTTGGAAAGCTTGAGGGCTGTGATTTAACTAAATTTAGGGAAAGTGTTGGGTGATAGAAGAACACATGGAATTCATTAAGGCATTCCATATCATTTCCTGTCTATTTTGTATATTGAAATACTATTATCATAATATTTTGAAAACTGGACTCCTAGTTTTCTCATTCTTATTTTTAAAAAATAAATGGTTGTCCTGGCATAGTCTCATATTGACCAACCCAAATTTAAGTTTGCTTTTGAAAAGCCATGTAAAATCTTTTCCTTTCAATATGAATAAATAAAACCATTGGATGTGTTTTGAAAATGTTTAAGGATTGTTTCTTTTTGTTCAAGAGACTGAATATTCTGTAACTATTGATTAATATTTAATAAGCACTAGCATCTGAAAATAATATAGATGTAATATAAATAATATATAATATTTTTGTCCCAGATCTCAAATATTCTTCTAAAGCATCTGGTTACCAAGCAGGAATGTGGTAGATTTCAGCAGTGATGATATTTTATCACTGGTAATGAAAGTTAATTGGCTTTTACTAGTTATTTTTACTGGTCTTTACTGGTAATCAGTTTTCTTTCCTCTAGTATCTTATCTACTTTTCAGCTACCTGGAGACTTAAAACTTAGATTGTACAGTGGTTCAAGAGGTTGGATTGCACTTCAATTTTATTCATGTTATTTTATTTTACCCACAGAAGGAAAACAGTGTTGAAAAAAGTTAAGGGCAGGGCCCATTAACATTGGCAATTAACCAAAAGAGCAGCTAAAAATTTAGGAAGTTAACCTAATGAATAGTTACTCATTTACTGAAGAATTAGGAGACATATGTTTGGATCCAGATAAATATATTGTGGCATTTCCCATTTCCCTTTGTTTTAGAGGAACTCCAGTATTAATAATTATATCCAAGCTCTATTCAGGCATATCCACTGCTGTCTATCTTTGTTTCCTGGAGTCTCCTGCCCAGTCTGGGATATGATCAGTGTACACTCAATTGTGTATATTCTTCCTTATATTAGTTTTCTACAAGCCCTAACTACAACAACTATAATTCTAGGTCATTTAAACAGTAGTTCCACTGGATACTTGGATATCAATTTAGACTTCAACACTTTCTTTGCCCCCTCCTCACCTAGCAATTTTCTAGCCTTGGGAAAGTGGGGAAGTCTCCCAAATCAGATAGAAGCATTCTTCCTTCTCTTAGTCCTCTTGTACCCCAGTCCATGCTATTCTATTCTGTAATCCTCCTTAGATGAAATTCACCTGGAACCAACCTATAAATATATAATATTTTTACAAGTTTCTTAATGTAAGAGTCAGGGCACCTTCACACATTCACATTATACCTTTGTGTAGGTCTACCTATTGGTGAAGGGAAAGCCAGTCAGCCTGCAGTGAATCCATGTTTCAAAAGAAGCATTATTTTGAGAAAAAGTTTTTTAAAGTAAGAAAAAAAATATGGAAAAAGATAATGTGAAAGACCTGCCTGTTAATGAAGAACAAGACTGGCCCATAAGAGGAAGTTATTCAATTACATATCCTCTAACACTGAAGTTAGATTATTAAACAAATAAATAAACAAGCATTTATTTCAGACTTGTATCTTGTTCCATGCTTGTATTCTGTTCAGCCTTTTTATTGTTGTTGTATGCTGTTCCCATGCAGGATGGATGGTCACAGTATCATTTTGTAGCTTCATCATCAACGATAGAGAGGGATAGGCAAAGGCCGTATTCTTCCTCACGCACACCTTCCATTTCTCCGGTGCGCATGTCTCCCAACAATCGTTCAGGTAAGACCAGGTATACATAATTGAATAATTAGGGGAGCAATTCACCAAAGTCAAATAAAGAAATAAAGTGTTGTCAAAGGAATTATTAACTGTAATGAGGCATGGAAAAGGTACTTTTATTGTTTATCTATTTGCTGCTTAATGGATGTTCTAGCCATCACGAAACATTCTGGATAAAGCACAAAAGAAGCAGTTCCCATTTCTCATACTGTGTGTTTTTCATCAAGTTGAGAAATTATTGCACTTATTACTATTTTGATAATCTAGGTTCAAATCTATACTTAGCCATATTGTTGGTTGATTATTTGTAAATTGTTGATCATCATGGGCCTGCTAAAGAAAGATTTGAAATAATTTGCATTGAAATTTGCATTATGTACATTATCTATAATAATTACTGTAATTATGTATGTACATGTAATAGCTGTTCCTGTTTATTGTTCATGAACAATAATACTCCATGAGTAATTGCTATTAATATTTATTTGAAATGAAAGTAAAGGTAAAGAAAGGTATGAATATAGTTGCAGAACAGCATATAAAAGATATAAAGAACGAAAACAAGGAAAGGGTAGTCAGAAGAGTGGAGAGATCAGCTGTATTGTTCTCTCTAGATCTGCTCTGAAAAGTAAAAATAACATTCATAGCACCTGCTAGAGCTCATTTCCTTAGGATGCTCTTGTCATTTCCATTAGTTGGAATAAAAAAGAAGATTGAGCAGTTATATACTGTATTTGTACATGAAAATACATCAATGAAATTATTAGGCATATTAAATTATTTATTTCTGGGATTCTTCAAAAATGCACAGTCAGTAAGCATTCACATTGGAGTGTTGTTAACTTTGGAAGGAAGACACACAAGGAGAGCAATCAGCTGCTATTCCCTTGACCTTTCTTAGGGCAGGACGTTCAATTAGATTATCTCTTTCCAGCCCTTACATTTTATGATCCTGTGGGTTTTTGCACATGTCCACGGGACTTACCTTCTTGGTAGGCCAAGGATTCCCACCTTAATGTTATTTTATTCATTACTTAACTACAAATTGAAGCACATACTTTTTTAAAATTTTAGCTTATTAGTTTGCATTATAAGATAACAGAAATTAGTTTTCCTATGTTTCTTGTTCAAAGTATGTCTGCTTTTAAATATGCAATTTATTTATTTATTCATTCATTCATTCATTCAATCAATTTGTATGGCCACCCATTTCAACAAGTGACTCTGGGCAGCAAATAATATTAAAATAAGTTAAAAACAATTCCTACCACAATATAAAAATTAAAATACACAGCAGCCCAGAAGGTATCACAATCGACAGTTGCTAACACAGCCAGGATACAGGTCCCTTCACACACTCAGGGCCCCAGGGCTAGGTACAGAACTAGGTCTTTAGGGCCTTATGAAAGGCCAGCAGGTTTGGGGCCATCCTAATCTCCAGAGGGAGAATGTTCCATAGGGAGGGTGTTGGGGCAAAAAAGGGATGCCTTCTGAGCCCTGCCAACCGTCATTCCTTAGCCAACAGGACCCAGAGCATGCCCATCCTGTCAGACCAGATCAGATATGTAGAAACAACTGGAGAGAGACAGTCCCTCAAGTAACCCAGTCCCAAGCCATGAAGGGCTTTAAGGGTGACAACAGCACCTTGAATTGGACCCGGAAGCACATTGGCAGCCAATACAGCTCATAAAATAGTGGTGTTACATGCGCCAAGTAACCAGTACCATTTACCACCTATGGAACTGCATTCTGCACCAGTTGAAGCTTCTAAATGCTCTTCAGGGGCAGCCCCATGTACAGCACATTGCACTAGTCCAGATGGGAGGTCATGAGGCGTGAGTAACAGTGAGCAGGGCCTCCCAGTCCAGTAACAGGCATAACTGGTACATAACCCAAAGGTGTGCAAAGGTCTTCCTAGCCACAGCTGCCACCTGCTCTTCCAGTAGGATCCATGAGTTCAGGAGGACTCCCAGATTGCACACTGGGTCTGTATGAGGCAGTGCCACCCTATCCAGAACCAAAGATGGAAAATCCCTGGCAGCAGAAGGTTCAAACATCCAAAGCCACTCAGTCTTGCTTTTGTTGAGCTGAAGCTTCTTATGCCCCATCCAGGCCCCCACAGTCTCCAGGCATTGGAACAAGACCCCACAGCATCATTCAGGTGACCTGGGGTGGAGATGTAAAGCCTGGGTATCATTAGCAAAAAAAGATGATGAAACTGTTTCATCCCATTCTCACTTAAGACTTCCTTAACTTACTATATTCAGCATATCATGTCAGTTTATGTTTGACATTTTCTTCTGTACTTATTCCACTGAAATCAGACAATTGATATTCCAATGGTATATCCAGCCCGGCCAGGTTGGAAAACATACTATCAAAGCTTCCTACTATTGCATGGTGACTATGAACTGGATCAATAGGCAATTAGCTGAACTTCCAAGCTAATAGAAATGAGTAGTGCGCTATGACTTGTGTATTGTTGTTACGAGTCGTACCTAACTTTGGAGGGTGTTACTAGGTATGCTCAAGCACATCTCAGATTCATGAACATTTCATGTGTATTCACTATGAGATCGTAAAATGTCAGAGGTGTTTTTTATGAATGAATTCAGTAACCACATATAAAGTCTCTTCAGATAAAGACTTTCATTGACAAATGCACATTTAAGTACACATAATCAGTGTTCAAGGAATTTCTTTGAGGGAAAGCAAAAATAAACAAGTTCTGATTATTTTCATTGGGGACATACAAAATAGCAAGTAAAATTTTTGTTAGATGGTAAATGTTAGAGTCCAAAGTACAAAACAAGACCTGGATAAAACTGAATGGTGTTTGAATCTTTAGGGTCTCAGTTATTTAAATCTGCCTAGGGAATAGGAGGTGCTTGAGAATTACTGACTTTAAGCAAATTGAGGTTTTAGAAGGTTTAGAAATTTGAGTAGTGCTTGTTTCTTCCTATTAGGCAGCATTGGGCGGGGGGGAGGGTAACAAAGTCCTTTTTGCCAAAGGAGGGAAAAAGCAGATGGAAAGCAGGAAAGTTTTGAAGACTGGACCAGCTAAGTGAGAGAGATAATGCATCATTTTGCACATACTTTCATGCATGGTTTAAAGAGTCCATTAAAAAGACTAGATGCAGAGTCTGTTCCATGTGGAAGTCTGTTGTAGACCAGGACAAGGACCAGTTGAAGGAACCAATGCAGCTATGACAAATTAAAAAAGAGTTGGGCTGAGATTCTCACCACTAAGTTATCAAGGCAAGGGGCATTTATTGATCTACATCTGTTCAGAGTAAAAGAAAGAAATGTGCTCCAAGCTTTGGGTCAAACTGTAACTTGTACAGTGATTTGTAGATATTTCTCCTAAAAGACAGAAAGAGCCAGTAAAAATACTTTCTGAGTAACTTTGAAATCCCTTATCATGCTGTTCCTTGGCTAAGACTGGTACCTCATGCTTTTATGTTGCAGCCCTTGAAAAACCAAGCCAATTAAGCTGCCATGTAACTGTTTGGGGTACCCTCTTTTTCTAAGCAAAATCTAATCCCCCTGTTCCCTTTGTTTAGGAAACCTGGGGTGGGGGAAATAGCATAGCTTGGGACTCTGTGGGTCATCTGTTTCCATTTGGCTAAGAACTGCAGGGAGAACCAGTTTGGTGTAGTGGTTAAGGCACTGGGCTAGAGACTATGAGTTCAGGTCCCATCTTAGGCACCAAGCCAGCTGGGTGACTTTGGGCCAGTCACTCTGTCTCAGCCCTGGGAAGAAGGCAGTGGCAAGCCACTGCCAAAAACCTTGCCAAGGAAACTGCAGGGACTTCTTCAGGCAGTTGTCAGGAGTCAAACTTGACTCAAAGGTGCACAAGCACACACACACAAAAGGAACCTCAAGTGCCTGGAGTAAGTACTTGAATTACAAAATCCTGGTTCCTGGAGACTCCAGTTGTAGATAATCTTTCTAGATTATCCATGACTAGAGTATCTTGGATTTGCTGATGCCCAGCAAAATAAACAACTGGTTCCTGAGATGGGAGAATGATTTTGACACAGAGACAAATGAAAAGAAAAATAGTTACTCAAAAAATATGTGATCTTCTTTTCAAGGACCTGTTAGTTGGAAACCCACCTTTGACTTGATTGAAGGATATAGATCAGGCCAGTGCTTACACATTTGGTCCAATATGTAGATTCATTTAAGATTCATTTATTCTTTAGCCAAAAAGGATTATAAACATTTTTAAGAGCCAGATTAGCAGAGTGAAACATTTCAACAAAGCAGCAAAATAGCTCCCATGGCCCACCCCTATAGAACTCTTTTCCATTCAAGATAGAGAAAAGGTCACTTTAAAAATTCAAGCTTCACACTTTGGTCAAATCCAGTATTTCTGCATATATATTAGGGGCAGCATAAAAAGCAGAAACTCCCTAACAAGGGGCTACCTGCAGCACAGAAGTCATGAAATGTTGGGGGGACTCAGCAAGATTGTTCAGAAAGAAGTCTTCGATATTTTTTCTTAGGGTTTTCCCATATCTCTTAGAACATAGTCTCCCTGTTCAGGCATTTTCCAAACAAGCTTATAAAAGTATTTGCATACATTAACATTCACATCAGCTGAGTCTTACTTTCCCAGATGCTTCCTACTGTAAGAACTTACATATCTCAGTCAGCCCATCTCCATCCATTATTATTTTTGCATTAAGTCATGGATACTTTTGAGAAGAGGCAGATGTTAAGCAGATTTTGTTGATAGAATAAAAGGAAAGTTTTTTGAGTCAGCCTCAACATTTGGTAAGGTCATAGATACATCCATGTAGATTTCTTAGCAATAATATGAAAATGGCTTGAAATGGTCTTCTTCTGGTATGGGCTTTTTTTTTCTTCCCATATAGTTTACAGTCCTGCTCTTTCCTAAAGATCTCCCATTCAGGTTCTAACCAGATCTGATCCTCATTAACTTTCAAGCCTTATTAGTTAAGGCTTATTAGTTATTAGTTAAGGTTATAAGA